CCGCCTGGCAACCCGCGGCGGTGAAAACAAAGGCCCAAAACTCGCAAAAAAAACGGTACTTTGGGATGATTGTTGAGACTCCTCTGAACAGTGTAACAAGATTAGCCCTACGTGTGTAACATATATGAATTTGGTTGTTTGGGATTACTTCAAAGTTGAGTTTGTGTTGTTTTCTTGAATTTTCACCGGCTCGACCAGCGTTCCACAGCAGCGCGCACAGAGCCCATAGAAATGCATGTACAGTGGTGCGCGTCTTAGCAACATGGAACGTCTTGTGACGTAGCTCCGCCCCCGAGGATACTATTGGTTGAATTAATTAACACTCTGAACAACTTGGATTTCTGGTTAGCTTGATTTAGAATACTTTCATTATTTGCATCTCAAAGGTCAAAGGTGAACACTTGTACATTCTGAACCAGCCTTGTACGAAATCACTGAGAGATAGAGGCGCATACCATAGCGACATTCACTGATGACCCCCTGGATGATCCACATCTGCTCGAGACTTGTCATGATCAGGTTCATTCGTATGCTAGGGAATTAGTAAATGGAACAACTGGCTGGTATAATGGTCGACTATAGTAGTTGGTTAAGTCAACGAGGCGCCGATAAATATGAGAGTTATGTCCCGACATCGGGGCAATTAATCAGACATTACGGCGTGTTGACTACTTTGCGTGATTGGCTATATGTGTGGAGGCCACGCCTCGAGCTCTTAAACTCATCTGTAATTGGTTAACAGTTGGAAAAGTGAATAAAGCTGATCTCAGTTAGTTGTGGCAAGCTCACCACGAGGCACACAGTCTTGATGCGGCCGAGAGGGAGTTACAACACGGCTGAGACCGAATGTGACACAATTCGAACTTGGTACCCCTGACGTGAAGATTTAATAACATTCGAATTAATCGTTCACACAAGTACACACATGTTTTCCTATTCACCCTTTTTCGACGGCCGTGTTGCTAATGAAGATGATCTTGATTATAACATTGGCGTTCAGCCATAGTGTCTACATAATATATTGTAACCGACATCAGTTCAGTTGTTGAGATATAGAACAATGAATACGTTGGTAAGTCAAACGATTATGTTATTCTGGAAAAAAAATTCTGAGGTTATTTTTTACCAGAGGGTACAACAGAAGAGATGATTTCACCATCATACCCTTTTAACACCTTTACACCAATATCCCATTCCTACCTATACATTTTCCTAGATTGGTCGTATTGTTAAAGAGACATTGTCTTTTCTTTGGCATTAAACCAACAGTTTGGCAAAGACCAACTTGGCTTTACGTCGTTGGCAGCTTTTGGTGCCAAGGTGGCATAGATTTTCCTTACAAAAGGTAACCTTTTAATTATATCCATATTTCGGGGCCAATTGGGCACACGCATATATTGGCATTTTTATGACTGTCACAATAGTGAATGCAATGGTAATTGATAACGGTGTATTAAAAAGATGGATATTATATCTTTAGAGACATATGTAGAAATCAATTAGCTGTCTAACCTTTTCACCATCGGCACTTTCCTTCAGAAGATTGGGGCGAAAATATCAAAGTTTGTCTGTTGGTTCAAAATCAGGGTTCATTTTCACAAATATTGAAGAATATAAGAAAAAAGTGCAGAGAAATTGGGCGAAAATTTATCTTGTAATAAACTTGTCAAATGCATACGATATATCACACACAACACAGATGTATTCATATTTGCACCATTTATTGTCAACTTGATTATTGTCTTACAATATTTGGACACTAATTCCTCACTTCGGCAAGCTGCATAAAACCCAGGAACAAAAAACAACAACACAATATAGAACTTACAAACATAAAAAGCGACAGTGACAGGATATGTTGTATATTCGTTGACATGTAGGTATGTTGTTAGTTACATCTGAAACAAAAACAATATTTGAATGACTGTCATAATTATGTTAATTAAGATGATATTTGTTTACATCTTGCCAGGATTTGAAATGCTTCTTGTGCATGTGTACCACATTTTAGGTAAATGGTAGCCGAAACTCCGATAAACTAACATTGAGATATGTCAGGCACTCTGAAAAATAAGTATGTAAATAATCCTCCCATCGTCATGGAAACCATGTTTTGTTGCTTTAACCTTTTGACCACAAATTTTTCCCCCGCTTAAATTTGGGTAAATTTGTTCAAATTTTCACCAAATTCCTAATTTTTGACCAAATAGACAAATTTTGACGTTGTCTCCAGTTTTTAACAATAAACAAATGAATTTTCGCAACATTCAAAACACATGTGGAAAAGGGCAGACTAGTTTGTGGATGATGCAAACTGTGTAAATATTAAATTATTTGCAACTGTGCATATGTAAAATAAATTCGCGAATGATAATTCATTAGACTTACTTTTTCGACTCAACTTTCCAGCTTTCTCCAAACTCGGCAGCGTCATGTACCACCCTGCCATCGGGTTTTAGGAAGTCGTTAAGAGTGTCACCATCTGCATCACCCAGTAGACCGCAAAGACGACCACGGTAGTCAGATCCAGTGATAGATACACCTAGGGTATGCTTATGCAGTGACCAGTGCAGGGTAAAAGTCGTATCCTTGGAGGTAAAAGTCAGTGTAGCTGTGGTATCATCTTTCTGAATGTGTATTGATCTTGCTTTAGTTACAGGTCCGTCACTTCCTTCCTGTAATATAAATGCATTTTATTAGTAACAGTAACTTTTTCTGAAAAAAAATCCATCCAATCGAAATTACTAAATTGAGTATATTATGTATTATATTATAAATGCAGACTAATTGGTTATTAGCAATCTTCCAATGACACTGGGGATGCCTGGAATGTGAACAGCGATACCCAAACGAGTCCTCTTATAACAAGTTGGGCAGCTTCCTGATCATTGTCATCATTCTGATTGATATCAATTTCCTTTTTTGGTTTATAGGAACGGTGTATAACGCTTAATAACTCTATTACCCTATTACCTTGTAACATAAGAATAAAGAAAATCCGATTCTCCCCTAATGAATAATATACCCGTATATATTTAAGTCAATATAATAAATTACTACTCTATATATTTATAAACTTTCATAAAATTACTTTTCTATTATTCTGTAATGAATATTGAGTTTGAGTCCCAAGCGACGATAACAACACACGCTAAAAACGCAAAGGTTCCTTGCCATCTGAAGCATGGACAGGTGACGACTCCCCGCTTTAGTCCAGTCATTGATATTAATGCTGTGTTTGAAACTTGTAAAATCAAGTTTACATTATAAAATAAGAAAATTTGTATAAATTCAATATAATTTGTGTGAAATATTGTTGCTGACAATTGTCGACTACTAGCTTGAAATACTGAGTTTGACAATTTTTAGTCCAGACTTTCTCTGTTCAACCCCTTACTTCCATGGACAATTAACCTTCGTTTTCTTCGTACACTTGTTGACATAACACCAAATCACTATTATCTTATCCAGTTATTGCCACCTTTAACTAAATACTGTCTAATTCAATTGGAATAATCAGTTTGATAGTGTAATTATTTAAATTATGACAATTAACGGAATGAAAAAATATTTATTGAAGTGTTTAAAATAACTTACCTCAATGTCTAATCCATTAATGACAACAAATTCACCCCCAACTGTGGCATTAAACGAAACAGTTCGCGTTCTAAGGTGTTCAACAGTACTGTCTTCTCTTGGCTGAAACTCAGTAGTTACTTCAAAGGCAGAACTTGAGGAACAGTCCTTAAACAGAGTATACCAGCATGTACCTTGGAAACTGTATGGACGCCCATCGAATGTTCTCATATGTGGATCACCTGATACACCTGGTTCTGGATCTGGTTCTGGTCCGAATAAAACAGATAGGAGTCACGTTAGATCGTATATATTACACATATCATCTCTAGGAAGGTTAACTATTCAGAATAATTTAGGGAAGACTAGTTCTTTTAGTGTAACAATGTGCAACGGACTAAAATTCACGGTTAAATCAGAAAACAGGAACAGGTACCAAAACAAGGGCCAAAAGCTGGAAGTATGATGAGGTTTGCACGTGCTGAATGCTTGTGATCTGAGCGAGAAACGTCAGGCCTAGACGTCGAGTTGGTAGACCTCTCGTGCCTTTAACACACGCCAGAGAGCTACTTGTTTACCCATTGGACACGTCGCCATTGGTCTTAGATAGACCTGAATGAAGTTTACTCTGCAAGGTCGTATCCTTAGACCTATAGATTTTCTGGGAACACCTTCAGTGCAACCTTTAGTAGTGACACTGTTGTACTACGTGGTGGCCTTATGTACCACCACATTACTTCCCTCCTTGGCATTGATGGTGACTTAACTCGCCTTGCGTAAAACATTATAGCAGCTATCGTAGTATCATAAGACAATGATCGTACACGTGCAGTTGTCGCAGACGTTTTGTGACAGAATGTATTGACCTTCTTATTCAATTCAAAAAAGTGAAACGTCGGGCTGTTAAAGGTTATCGTCGGCCGATAAAATGTACTTTGGGATAGTTGATGAAACTCTCCTGAACAATGTAACAAGATTACCCTTATATGTGTAACATATATAAATTC